AGTGTTTGTAAATAATAAACGCAAATAATGAATGGTCTTAATTACTGAAATGATGCCATACTTTTTTCTACGTTTAGTGATCGTTTCCGTACCACTGTGAACGTTCTCGGAGACTCTATCGGAACCGGCATTGTAGCACATCTATCACGTGACGATCTAACAGTGGTTGACCATCATCCGGTGGGACAGGACTACGTCATTGACAAAGATGGTCTTTTGGACAATAACCAAGAGGAAAACATTGTCATGACGACCATGTAATGATTTAACAAGACAAACGTATGTATATCATCGACACAGATAGCTTTTTAGGATCCGAGCCAAAGAATCATGTAGTASAGTTAGCAAGACAAGCATGCACATGTCGTTGTCATGGTGACATTCATGTGAGTGACTCAGTTTTAAAACTGTTCTAAGCCAGATTTACTTAGCAAATATTTATACATCAACTTGAAATTACAATGCTACAGTTTCTTTTGCAGTTCCGTAACGTTTCATACTGAGTTTTTCCATCGTTTAGACACTAAGTTTATGTTTGCGAAGATCTTGGCTCTTCAACGAGGCTAAGCCTGAGCCTGCAATCAATACAAAAACACTCGTATTCTTCAATCTCTAAGAGTCTTAGGCTGATATTTAACCTTTTTTGAGAACTCTAGAAGTAAGATTCTTTGCTGAAGATAAATTAATATTTTAATACTTAATCTAGGTAAGATAATAGATTGTGAAGTCACAAAACCCGTGAAATAGATGTTAGACGAATACACATTAGTAGACCCTAATTCCATTGTTTTCTTTTGTATCTTTTTGACTAGAGTGAAGTCACTAAACCCGTGCAATAGATATTAGACTAATATACATTAGTAGACCCTAATTCCATTGTTTTCTTTTGTGTCTTTTTGACTATCACATGTTGACTAGTATTTTTTATTTCACGGGTAAGTACCTTCACTCTAGTGCGCTTTTTGAATTGTATTTATGGGGTATTGTGTATTATCAATTTCCTGGGGTTTAACGAGTCTTATCACTGTGTTATCACTGTGTTACAGACAAGACATAAGACAAGGTATTACTTCCAATGAAGTAAACATTAGGAATTATTTCGTTAAAAAATTTAACTATGTATCCGCATTGAGTATAGAATACTGAGTAGTCAGCGGCATGCCTGTGGGCTCAATATAGTTCCCAGTGCCTTCTCTGTTCATGACGTCAATACTTATGGGAATATGAGTGAGTGTAAGTGAAAGCGACTCAATTCAGTTCATTGTGTATTAGGTTTACGGTATCACGTTGCGGATACCTTATTGGATGAAATGTTTTGGTTGAGAAAGAGATGCTTTTGATCTRTCAACCTGCGTTTTTGTTTACTTTTTTTATTTTGATTTAGTGTTCTTGTTTTTGTTTGTTTGTTGTTTTTTTTTTGTTGTTTTTTTGTTTTTTTGTTGTTTTTTTTTCAAATTTGTAGATTTTGTAAATTGTAATTAAACACAAGTAACTACGTTACTGAATAAACAAATACAATTTCCAATTCCTACTCGTTTTYATTCGCTTTTCTTGCTTTTATTTTTTATTTTTTTACTTCATTTTTTTTCTAGATCGTGGAAGTCGTTGGGTTTGCCTAGAGGGAGACTGGGGGCGATCCCCTTTTGCACTCCAGTTTTCTTGTTTCCATTTTGGGTCACCACAACAGCCCCATGAAAAAGGAAGGAAAAAAAAGAATGCATAATAGATCACTTATATCTCTATGTTCGCCCATCTCGATATATATGAAAAACAGGCTTGGATTACTCAAATACAGGAAAATCTATCCATATCGGAACTCAAGATTTTTTCGTCAGAGAAGCACCGACAGTGTTTTGGAATTTTTTGAGACTATTTTCTTGTGACATTCTTGTTTCACTCAGACCTCTTTCATTTGACACTTTAATATGACATTTAGACTATGCTTGAGCAATCATATGCATGTGCTTAGATTAGCATGGAGTATGAATTACATCAGGGGGGGGGGGGGGGGGGGGGGATGGGCAAAAAACCCCAAAAAAATCGAGCACCGCTTAAAGAGTGAAAAAAAATCGTGCATAAGAAAAGTGCCAGAAAAAAATTCCGGCACAAAATAAATTGCCCAACCCCCACCCCCTCAAAAAATTTAATGTTCCGTCCCTATATGGTTGGCCAAATGTTGCAAAATTCAACAGCATGTATATTTATATTCAACAAAATATAATTACATTCAACAATAAAATTGTGTTCAAATTCAACCTTCGTTATTCATATTCAACAC